GTTTAAAACTGTTGAAGTCCAACAAAATAAAAAGAAATTCCACTTCGATTACGAACATGCTGACAAATCTCCTCAATCTCCAGAAGAGAAGTTTACGGCAAATGCCTTTTTTGGAATTTTGGATATTGCTTGGACATCACTCAATGAAAGATTAGATGCAATGAAAAATCACTGAAATAATTTTAGTTTTCTGGGTAATTTATCAGAAATCGATAATGCAAATTTGAAAATAAAATACAGTGAATTAGAAAAATTGTTACAGTGGGATGACAATAAAGATATTAACGTAGAACACCTTTATGACAAAACTGTAGCTTCGAAACACATTTTTACAGCCAGTACGAATGACCCATTCGATACTCTGAACTTTATTGTGTCAAACAACTTTTGCTTCCCGAACTTAAAGATCATATTTGAGATCTACTTAGTATTTCTGTTACTCTTGCTAGTAGCAAAACATCATTCTCCAAATTAAAATTGGTCAAGACATATTTACGGTCAAATATATCGCAGGAAAGATTCGTAAATCTAGCGTTGATTGCCAATGAAAATGAAATCTGTCGAGATAAATGCAAAAGAAATTATAGAAAAATTGTAAATATGAAATTCAGAAAAATAAATTATTTTCGATAAACTGTTAAAAAAATCAAAAAATGCTTTCTTCAAAACTTCCTTTTCCTATACAAAAATTTAAAAAAGTGGGGGCGTGACTTCAGCTATTTTGCAGACGGGCGCCGGATAACTTTGCGCTTGCGCTGTTATTAATGAAATACTTTTTGGATTATAAATACATTAGAAACTATAATTTTATTGTAAATACTACATATTGAAACATTGGAAATTTATGGATTTATATTATGCATGGTGAAACACATTTGTATATACATTCATTAATATAAATCTTATTATTTACATTAATACTAATAAATATAAACCATCGCATCTATCTGTATGTAAATGTAAATGTAATTATGTAAATATATGACTTATTAGATGCGTATATATATATATATATATATATGTATGAATACAAACATGATCATTGCCCAAAAAGTTTATTTGAAGTTACTTTTAATTCATATAACGATCATGTAATTGGTAGCAACTATAGTCATCAGTTCTTTGCAAATTATTATGGATATGTAATAATCAGTTGAAAAATAATTGATGAGTATTTAAGTACTAAAGAGTGTACACATTTTGTTATTAATTTATAATTATATCATATGTATGATCTACGTAATATAAACATGACTACTAAATAAGAAGAAATGTTACTGCTGTGCATTTATAACATTTGATTACTTAAAACAGTGCACAACTGATTATCACCTTCATGCCTGTTTACATAATGAATTGTACTTTCCAATTAAGTGCATCTTCTACAAAGGGATCCCTCCTGTTAGGCAGATATCCCTCGAGGCTTTGCCGTAATCACATAAAACAAACTCATGATGTGCCCCGCCTAATTTCTAGAGTTGGTATAATGTCTTTTAGGTATATTACCGGGTGTTCTATGGAACAGTAAATAACTCGCACATGTTTTGATTGCTCATGTATTCATATGCTTTATTTGATCCTCATTTCGCTGAATAGTATCTGCTGGCTGTGAGGATGTAAAATATCAGCCATATAGAATTTTGTCACAGGTCTCTTTTTTTTCTTCCAAGAAAATACTTTCACCAGGTCACAAATTTTCCAGTGAGCGATCGAATTTTCATTGGAATGCAGACAACAGAAAATACACATAAGTAATGTCTGATAAATAGACTTATCCAGCCCACCTTTTAAACTATTCTTAGTGTATACAGAATTTGGCTATTACTGATGTAATTGATTGCTATAACCAGAAGTGTGTTTATTTGTTACTTGAAATGCCAGAGTGGAGATCAAAGTGATTAACTTGATAGCAATCGCATTTCTATTATCTTCCATCACTAACATTAAAGTTTAAAACGAAAAGAGTGTGAGCAATACAAAACAACACGAAGAAGCAAACGTCACTTTCGCCAATCTGAGCGATAACTGATTCTTGTTTGGCTTTCAGCCTGTTTACCAAGTGAAGATGGTAACCCTATTTCGCCAAAGAGCGTTTCTCAGAATTGTTCCGCCAAACGTTTTGTTTCGGCAACAAATATCGTATGTGGTAAGGGTTTAAGACTTAACAGCTTTACAGTCATAGGGCTTTCTGCCTTATGACCACGTCATTAAGTCCTATCCCATATATGTAAGAGGGTTTAAGTCATAGCCAGCCAGAGAAGGTTAAATTGTGCAAGCGTAAATGGGCAGTTGAGTCAGCAAAATTATATCGAAAGTCAGATCTTGTTTTCTTCGCCATGATTAGTCGGTTCTCATACAAGTTGATAAGTCAAAAAGGCATTTAGGCAAAATCCTTGACGTAGCAGAGTCTGATTACCTACCAACAAAGCTAAGCTTATACCTCTTAGGACCGCACAAACTTCTTCTGAACATAACCAAAATACCAGACAACTGATTGCTAGACATAGCGATTTCGTGGTGCTATGTTCGCTTGGTGCAAATGCAAGATAGTTGCTTTCTCATGTAACCATTTATAAGCACTGATGAAAAGTGCAATAATATACGAGTTTCGTATGCCTTTGAGGGTGATAAACACCCTTGGGATTTGATCCCGCGCCTACTACGTAGCATTTGAATACCGAGCCGCTGTGGCAAAATCTTTCGCATGATAGATGCTGATATTCGAACTATTTTGTAACGCGTATGTTCGAGGGGCTCTTCCGATCGTTACACGTTCTTTTTCCAAACTTTTCTGATGCGACATGAGAAGATGCAGTTGACCATCATGAAATGAGTTCCCGTTGTTGATCGATTGATCTTTACGTTTTATGGACTATGGCTGCGGCTCCAACGCATGTCGTAGAGTGTACACGAAGGGGGCGTTTGGCTTGTGTAACGTAATTCGTCATTTGTTCTCAGTGTCGGAAGTGTGTCGGTCACCCAGTCACCATTGTAGCGATCAGGAAGTAGTATGTTCACTTGGTGCTGCTCTTCAATCTTGCCTCCAATGCCAATATTCTAAAATTCAGAGACATTCAAAATCACCTTTAGGTACTTTTTCATGCGTGATACCAGATTTGCGCATATTCCTATTGATTTCATAGGTATCCAACATTTGAAGTATATGAAAGTAACAGTTATTGCATAATAATTATTGGCCGGCTCACCAGATGGCCGGAAGTTATACCTACTACTGACATGTCCGCTCAGACCACTTTTAGAGCATTAATACACAATTTAGATAGACTGAGCTGCCCCGTGTCAGTTACAACTGATCAAAGCCGAAATTTTGAATCTCACTTGTTTAAAGACAAAGAAGTATGGAGCTTGGAGGGTTAAAAATTTGGGTACACACCGCATTCAAATTGCTGCTTACCGTCCTCAGTCCAATCAGCTAATCGAAAGATTTCATAGGCACCTTAAAATTACAATAATGGCTAATAACAACCCGAAATGAACTGAAATTCTGTCAATAGTTTCGTTGGGTATAAGAACAGCCATGAAAAAGGAGCATATCACGTGATGCTACAAATGGCGAATGGTCTACACACATGAAGCTTCAAATTCATTCCAATGTTTGAAATTTCTTTCTACAAATTTGCTATTTAAAGACGTTCATTTTCTACACTTAAACGACTATTACCGAGGAAATAACACCATCAAGCAAGCATACTACCATCTGATCGCTACACCTTCATTAATGTATGGCAATGCAATGCTATAGCCCATTGTTCACTTCTTATAATTATCACATCAAATTACCTGGCACAGCATTACTTCTCTACCCTTTCTATACACTAGACTTCTCAGTTAACGAAGTTTACTTTCTCCAACTGATAAAGTCACTATTGAAGGGGTTTTTTTTACTATTACACCATCAAAAAAACTGCTTGCGATGGAACAAGAAACTATTTTATTTCCTTCATAGGTGATTTAACCAGCGTTTTTAAATAATTAGCTTTAAAGATGAAAATGAGCTTCTCTCACAGTGGCAAGATACGTTTATCAGATACTTATGCAAAAAGAAATCTTAAGTTGGGGAAAAGGCATACCTATACAAACGATCGACAGACAGAGTGTCACAAAAAAATAACCTGATAATATAATTTATTTTCAGGAACTGGTACAATATACAGTATTATGTGCAGCAATTAACATTTATTTCGAGAAAGATGTTTATCTCGAAATAATGGTAATAACTGAAATAATTTAACAATTGTGTTATTAGCACCAACGTACGAGGTCTTATTTTGATTAAAGTCTGTAGAATAGATGAACTTCGCAATGAACTCAATGCTTTCTGTAATTGCAATATCTCATACCACTGGCCTTTTTGTAAGGGGCATATCAAAGATAAGATTTATGGCACAAAAGACGCATCAATTAGCGAATCAAAGTAATTTACACAATTGGTTGTTTGTTTGCCTGTTCTATTTTGTGAATAACTTCAAAAATGAATATATTTATTAATAATCTTTGAAACACTTAACATTATTAAAAACAAATTAATAACCTTTTAACATCAATGTTAACCAATAGATGGAACCAGTGACCTTCAATGTCCTTTACTGCTCCACTAAAGTGGAATCTCAGTGAGTCATGGTACTGTGGCAAACTCTTAAGACAAAAGTGCACTCTAGCCTGAAGTGTTGAACAAACAACCACACAGCCACAGATCCACTAGTCAGTAAGAAAAATGCTCATACCAAAATAGCCATTAGTTCCAATATTTCACATAACTTAAGTAATTTATATATTGATCATCTTTAATCTTGATTTTAAAACTTACATGTACCTTAATAATTATTGCATTTGCAACATTTAAAATGCATACTAATTTTTGAAATATCTGTTGATTGAAATCCTTGGTTTACTTAACAGATTATGAACATTGTTAAAATTTTCTGGGGTAAATTTATAAGCTTTGCTATTAACAAAATTTATTCGTTGTCTGTTTTTAGGTTCAGAGGGATGGTAGAGATGGTTGGAAAAAAGGAGAATGCCCTGCAACAATTGAAATACCCACTTGCACTACACCTCGTTTTACCATTTCAGATCTATCAAAAAATATATATTATGAAATTCGACTGAGGGCTCACACATCATCTGGTTATGGAAAGTCTTATCGACAGAAAGTTTTCTTCGTTTGATATGGAGCAAAATTACTTAATAATGTAACAGAGTCTGTGCCAAGTATGCAGAAAAGTTTGGCATATGATTGTTTTGTACAGGAATACATTTTCTTTTTACTGCAGTATTCTTTCAGAGAGAAAAATTTCTCATCCTTTTAAATACAATAAATACTGCTATAATATATGATATGTAAATCCTTTCCTCATCTCAAAACTGAGAGATACAGTTTCCCAAAATTTCCACCCCTATGCTTGCCAAGCAATTCTTAATAAATTTATATTTTTTTACTTCCTGTTTGAAGTGATTTTTTCCATTAATAAAACACCAAAGTATTCTATAATATGGCTTTATATTCTATTTCAAACTATTTTATCACGTTTTTTCCAACTTTTATGAAACTGTTGCAGAATTTTTCATAATTTTGTTATTCATGCAATTTATGCTGAATGCCAGCAGATGAAACTAGAATTTAGGAACATGTATTACAATTGTCATCAGGGACCAATTAAAGTAGAAGCTCTTAATGCTCCTTTTAAAATTCTGCTTAAAAGAAAAATAAAACTATAGATTAAAATAAAACTACAGATTTTCAGTAATAACTGCTGAAGTTCCACGAAATCTTCATATGAATTTTGTAACATTTTCCAAAAAAGTAAAAATTGGCAGCCAAGATGAGTATTAGCATCATAAATAATCCCACTTCTCTGGTCAAAATTCCTGTATCCAACAGAATGAAATAAACCTCAGGTAATCAGATCTGAATTTTTTAATTGATTTATTATTTAGTATTTGAAGTTACCTTTCAAAGGATTTCTGATTCTAAATTTGAAAGCGAAATCTGCAGTTTTTATAAAGCACATTGTTAAATTCATACCATTATTCTTACATTACTTAAATCACAAAATAGTGACACAAAAAATAAAGTCTAGAACACAGAACATAATGAAATTCATTAGAAATTCAAAAATAGATTCTTAATATGAGTAAGAGTTTTAGAAAAGGTGGATACAGGTATTATTTCATTTCCTTAATTATTAACAGCAGCTATCTACTTTCAATTAAAAAGTTTCTTAAAATAAGGCACAAAACTTCATGAAAAAAATTGCAGCACTAGGGTAAAATAAAATCTTAACTTTATAATCCCCATCGAAAAAAGAAAAAAAAAAAAAAAAAAAAAGATTCCGGTTAATGCAGTATGCATAATACTTAATCATTATAATAGAATAATTCTTATAATCAGAAAATTTCATATTTTCACAAACAAAATTCATGGAGATACTCAAAGAATTAACTAATATAGATGCCAAGTACAAACCTGAACCAAGACTTCTGCAAACAAAGCAACTAAAAAAAATCATTTCAGCTATTAAATACTTTCAACAATGTGAAAACAACATTCATTACCAAATCTGTAGCTTAATAAAAAATCTATTTAAAATTTTTTATTAAGCAAGTAATTGGGATTTATTATTTTCCTCCACAAGTGAGTTAAGTTTTGCTCATTAAATCAAAAAATCCTTGCATTCAACTGAATTTTAACTTATAAACTGATTTTATGGCTCATGTCACTTTTTTTACATGTAACTAATTTTCTAAACTAGCTTTCTCTGAATTCAACATACAAAAGAGGAATAGATTTGATAGCTTGAAACTACAATAGAACACACTAAGATGGATAATCACTATTTCAAAAAATGAGTTATACTTTCAGAAACATCCAAAGGCTGCACAATAGATTAACAGCTTGTCCTTGGAAGATGACTATTCTGAAGGCAAAAACACTTACTAGACTAAGTACTTTTAATGCATTTAATATAAACACTTTTATCATACCATATGCAAGAAAAAAAAAACTGCTATTTCAAGTTATCTTCTTTTTATATATATACAAAAAAATCTTCATAATAAAAAAAATTCTACAAATTTCATAGATTTTTCAAACTGAACTGTGTACAAAATGAACTGAGCTGTATAACTATTTTCAAACTGAACTGAGTAAATAAATGAAAAACACACATAATATGTATGATTTATAACAGAAGTAGCATACTTAAAACGAGTTACAAAAAATACAAGCTAAATAAAAAAAACCATAAATTACAGCCTGAAATTGTGTAGACATTTTAGGTAACTTCCCCCCCCCCATATATTTAATGCAATACCAGAATTTACAAAAAATCTATAAAAGTTACGCATTATATCCGATATTATCTAAAACTGTAAAATAGTTAAAATTTTTCCTAATAATAAATAAAAAAGTACTAAATAAAAAAATAATAACAATAAGGCCTGAAGCAATGGCAAAGAAAATATTTTTAATTGGGTTCTTCAAAAAAAATTTATACAATTTTTATACAGAATAATTTAAAAACAAGTCTTTGGAATATGAGGTTTCATATTTTTGGAAATACAGGGCACAGAAAGGAAGGTTGAAGTCAGAATGGGAATGCACAATTTTATTGTTTGGCATTAATAATCTGAACGAAGTCTGGTTTCAAAGAAGCACCACCAACAAGAAATCCATCAACATCAGGCTTTTTTGCTAATTCTTTACAACTGCCAGCTGTAACAGAACCTGAAACCCAATACAAAGTATGAAAAATTATTCTAAACCAGCCAGCTTATTTTGTAAACAGAATTTTAAAATTTAGAGTAAAAACAGCTATGTTTAGATTAGATACGACTTCAGTTCTTTTAGAGAGCAAAAGGAGATTTCTTAACAGAGTGCATCAAATTTATCATTAAACAGTACAGTACCTAAGAGTTTATTTCTTTATAATATATTACATGAAAAAGCAAAAATTATTTTAATAAATTATGTTTTCATAATTTAATATAATAACAAAGACTTCACAATCTATGTTTATTATAATACATTAAAAAGAAATATAATTGTGACATAATAAAAAATTATAACATATGATTATATTAATATAAATCGTGTATTAGTATAATAATTTTAAGAAACCTAGATCTAACCATCTATATTTACTATGATGCATAATAAAGAAAGACAAAATTTATTTTTATAAAACTTTCAATCTGTCAAAAGTACCTAAAACAAGATTATCGACACTCACTACATATATTCATACCTAGAATTACTACATCAGTATAAAAAAATAATGCTGAAAATAAGAAAAAATTCAACAGTGTTATATAAAAGATATGTAGCCTATGTGTACAGTTCAATAACTCATTACTTTACAATGCTTATTAGAGTATTTATTAAAACACATTTCTGGTCATTGTATAGACTGCTATGTTGGATATGTAACAAAAAGTGCCACTGCATATTCATTGCAATGGTCGTCTTTTGCATTACTAGCATATGCTATTTTGTTGAATGATTTTGGCAATATACCAAGTGGTATTTTTAGTGTTTAATTTTTGGCAATCTGTCTGAGTATAATATTTCCTGGTTTCATGTTGGTATTATAATGAAATAAAGATCTTTTAATTTTATAATTTCTTATGAATAGTCTATTATAAGGCCACAAAGACTAAAAATAGTCTTCATGACTGAATGAATTTCATAACCTATTTTAGAAAATTATCAACAGTCTATAAGCAAGTTGTCAATCATGACTGTTGTTTGATTTTTCCATATTTTGCCAAGAGATGCTTTTTTCCAAATTTTGTGGGATGCTCTATGTTCTATATCATATTTTATTTACATGATAGAAGTTTCTGTTATATTATTGAACTGATATTGAGATCTATTCAGAAATAACACTGAAATTCATGGAAAACATAATGACCCACAGACATGAGCAATACTAACTACCTAGGCAAATTTTTAGGTCTCCAAATCATTCATGTTGCTTTAGCAATTAAAAAAATACAATAGCAAATAAGATCCAACCATTTATCGCAAAGTTATAAGTAGAAAGGAAATCAAAGTCTTTATCAAGCACATGAGATCTAAAGATGTCTCAAAATGCATGTATCAAAAAAAAAAAAAAAAAAAAAAAAAAAAAAAAAATCTGCCTACATTCTAAATTTTGATCTCATGACAGATAAGCAAATATTTATTTGTAAAAACAGATGGCATTTTACTGAATGCCAAAAGAATCTTGAAATAATAAATTTTTTGTCAAATAAATTATGCATGCTGAAATATGTTGCAGTTTTCATTCTGAAGTGAAATGTAAATGTTGAGTACATACTGTAACAGACATGAAATCTGTTGAAGTAGCATATTTTATGAAAACTGAAAGAAAGGCTGCACTTTTTAACTGTTGTATAAGAAAGAATATGAAAATATCAGGGTACTCACTACTATTTTTTAAATTATCTGATTTCTCATCATTGAAATTTACTGACAAAGACATATGAAATTAATGTAAAAAAATTATTTACTTCAATAGGAAATGACAAGATTCAAATAAAAATATTCTTTTTATATAATAAGAAAAAAATGACCCCTTGGTCTTTCTAGTCAGGCAAATTTTCCGATTCTTCTATAGCATCCAATAGCCAGCTTCAATATATTCCGACAACCAACACTGGTACTAATTCATGTTTCTGAGACCAATATATTTTAGATAGATAAGAAATAAGCTTTGTTCTATAAAGTAATAATTCATTTAAATGCACAAATGGATTTTTTATTTTTAACCCTTTGGCCCAAATTCCTTACCATGAGTCTGACTCGTGGTAAAGAATTTGTGTCATAAACAAAGCCACTGGTGAGGAATTTGTGCATAAAATGTCGCGTATTATTATTAGAACAAGTGATTGGAGTTATTCTACATCGAATATTTTCCCTTTGATTGTAATGTCATTTTTTTTTTTTTTTTTTTTTTTTTTTTTTTCAGTTCTTTCTGATGAAACTGGATGATCTCTTACTTTAGTTCCCTTTAAAGCTTCATTACATTCACACATTTCAAATATAATTTCGTTTAAAGTATTAAAAAACTTATTCCCATCATGCAATTATTTTTGTCAACTGATCAATTGATTATGATTACACCCTAGACGTCTTAAAATTAATATTTGTACCTAAACATTGTTTATCATCATTCACAATTCCTTTTGTTACACTGAAATATATATGTCATGAAAAGTATACATTTTGCGGCAGTTCGGGTACACGGCTGAATAGTGAATGGCACGGTGCACGAACGACTTTCTTGTTTACTACAGCTCGCACAATTGGCAGATATCGTGTAAGCCAAGGGGTTAATAAAATATGAAATGGGTGGAAGGGCCCTTTCTGACCGCTCTCTATTTCTATGGCCAAAACACTAGGACTCTGCCCAGTAAGTACTAAGTAACATATATATATATACAGATATATTTTACTTTTGTACGTAATAATAAAATTTTAAAAAGTTGCACAGAAATTAAAATTTACTTGTTCTTATTAAAACTAATTAAATGAAACACGAATTTCAAAGAAACTCTTCACAGCTAGAATTTGTTTTCTTAGTTAAGCTAAAAGAAAAGCATATATAATAAAATAATTTTTAATTTAAGTTCAAACAATGTTTGCATTTTCATTACATATTTTGACTTCCACTTCCTACCAGTGTTATTTTGATCACCGACTTAAATTATTTTGTGCTAAAGGGAATAACAGATATTTAAAATTATATGATTAATTCTTAGCATTTTCTTCTCCCTCAGTAATGAAATTATAAGTAGTAAGCACACTGTACTTTGACAACACACTATTTCTCTAATAAGAAAATTTTAAAAACTTAATTGTTCAATGTGCTGATAATTTTTTACCTCAAATCTCTGTTCCCATGTTTCTATCTATAAAAATACCAACTGAGCTAAGAAGTTTAATATACAAAATCACTTCTTTAAATTTCAGATATTTACTGTATAATAAAATATAATATTTGCTGTATAAAAACTTTGTATTTTAATTTCTTTGTTTTGTTTTTGCATTGAAAACTCACCTCCATAAATAATTCTAGTAGTAGCTGCAACATCAGCAGACACATTTTCCTTCAGCCACTTTCTCAGTTGTTCATGAACTTCTTGGGCCTGCAAAAAATATTGATATGATAAGTAAAAAATAAATCAGTGATTACAATGCGGGAACTTTGAATAATAAATGAATGAAAAAATAAATTAACACAGCCTCACAAAACGGATTTTACCACTTAAATAAATAAAAATAATGTGAACTATTGCTAAATGATAAAAGTATGTGCTGACTGTTAAATAAAATTTTAAAAGGATTCAGGGAAAAAAATTCAAAATTCTGACACTTGTTTCTGCAATTCCTTTTCATATGCAAAATGGTATAAATATGGTATTACCAAAATTTAAAATGTACATTACCAACTGAAAAAGAAGTTTTCTATTTAAATAAAATGTTAAAAGAAATATACAGAGAATACTGCAATCACTGCAATCTACAATACAACAAAATTTCATCATTATCTTCAGATTTAATTTTTGATGCAAATGATAATGTGCACAGAAACTATTAATGATATTTTGCAATTTGCATATGTGGTATTAGAAATGTACTTTATTTATTTAACTAGTGGTATAAAGTTATACTTGCTGCAAAATGCTATCAAACTCCAACTGGTAACTATGATACAGAAGACCTTTAATCGACTGATAAAAACTCTCCCTTTTAACTAAAAATAATAACTTTCCTCTAACTCACTCACTTGTGCATGGTGTTGAAAATACTATAGTTAAGAAATGAGATCTATATGCTTTTTTTAACTTACTGATGCAATTAATTTAAGTTGAAGAAGCATATGACAAATTGTATTTTACAGTGTAAAAGCTTGAAACCACCATTCATAACTTACAGCCCACTAGTGGCTGAGCGGGAACGTCATTACCTGAACACTCGTAGTTCGGTCCGAGGTTCGAATCCTGCAAACGGGCTGGCTGCATGGGTTTTTTCGTGGTTTTCCCCATGTGTAACGTGTATACGAGCCAGTTTCCCTTAAAAGTCCTCCACAAAGGCATCCCTGCCTTAAGGCAGGTAGCCCTCGAGTGCTTTGCCATAATCTAATAAACCAAACCAAACCACACCATCATAACTTCCAAATCAAGTTTTTACAAAGCCCATGCTCAGATTAATTATGCCTCTTTTTAGCTGCTCCATTCACCATTTACAAAACACTTAATGTTGTTTAATGTCATAGCATTATAACTTTTATATACTTGTACAAGAAAATACCTAATAATCACAGACAGAGTCATCACCTCTTGAACATTTAAGATACACTAATCTCACATGACTAGCCACAAGTTTCAAAATCACTCTTGCAAGAAAATCTATTGAAAGATTTTATAGGTGCTTAACTTGAGGATTCAAGTCATGAAATATGCCTCTATCTTCTAAATTAGGGTAAAATGCCAAAAATACATGTGAAGTTAAAACAGCAATAAAGAAAAATCATGGTTACAAGCATGTATTAATGATACAATTAATTATGATTATATGTGAAATTCCTATCAGAAAGCAAGTGTGTCAAAATAGGTCTTTTCTTTCAGATACACATAAATTAACAAAAAAAATTTACAAGCTTAGTTAAACTATTAATATCATTCCAACAGCTAGACACCAGCAGGGCAGAAATATTCATACAGGATTCACCTTGGGAGATCCTACAATATTCCTAATAAAATTCATATTTTTTCTTACATCATTTTATTAACTTTTATTGTATCTTCCTGTTGCACAACAAATTATGTTTTACAAAATATGTCTATTACAGGACACTGTAGTTATTGCATAATGCACATAATACTTCCACATACTGTTAAATGGCATACTTAATTTAGTGGGAAAATACTGAATTTTCAGCAAAGAAAATTCCCCCAAAAAATTGTGTTGAGAAATAAAAATTACATGATGTATCAAATTTGTCAAATTTTAATGTTATTTTATTATTAAGAAAGCTGGCCCCCAAAAAACTACAGCCTGATTCTCTTAAGACAACTCTGTAATTATGAAAGAAAGCTACTTTAATAGAGTGTTTAGAAAAGGCTAACTGCTAATTTGAAAACTAACAGTATGGGTTTGACTCCTGTATAAGACCTGGCTGTTGTATGTATGTGTCTTTTTCCCTACAAGTTCAATACTGGCTTGTCTTCTGGACACATGCTGGGCAATGCTCTCGATGATGAGGTTGCTAAATGGCACATGGATTCAACCTAATAAATGCCTTCCTGGAAGTGTCCCATCATTTGAATAAAAAATGAGTAGCAATAAGCATTATAGATATACAATCTTATTATAGCATTTAACTCATTAATTTCACAATCTTAAAAAATTAAGGATTTAATTAATATACTACTTCACATGATGCCCAATAAAACAAAACAAAAATGTAGGCCAATCTTGCAAGTATTGCAAATTGTGCTTTAATATTTTATTAAAAACTGGAAAATTTTATGTACATTTTCCCATTAAATCTATCAGCATGAATAATAATTTTTTCTGCATGTAACTTAAACATTGTTTTCAGATTGCAGTTTTTATCCCTTTCCAAAGTTCCTTATTAAACAAAATTAAATTCTTTATGGAAAGGATTAATATTTAAAATCATACTTGTTCAGGACTAGCTGTTTTTCCTGTTCCTATAGCCCATACTGGTTCATAAGCGATTACTACTTTTTTCCAATCAGACACTTTATCTAGAAGTATAATAATTAGCAAAATAAATATCAAAATTAAAATACATTTAAATCAAAACATCAACAGTATCATACAAAAGACAAGCTTCAAATATTAATTAAAAATGCAAATCATACACTAATACATAGGTATTTTTAATATGAAGGGTTCATTTTTACTAAATTTTAACAATCAATGGTAAAGAATTTTAAAAAAACATTCCATGAAATATTCTTAGTGCACAGTTAAGCATTAATGTAAAAATTTAGTTTTGCTATTAAGCAAGATTTAAGATATAAAAATCATGTACTCATTATCATTTAAGAAAAAATCATTAGCATTTAAATTATTTGCTATTATAATGAAGATTTGTATAATGTTATTGCATTTCAAGTTCAGCTTGATATTAACTTTTCAAAGCTTAACATTTGCTTCTAATCAGTAGAACAATGAAATATTTACTTCAGAGTCTCCTCATTTGATGATGCAAGATCAATTCAAGTCATGAAACTATGTTTTTACTTTACAAATCATAAATTAAAACCTTTAGTTTATCATCATTTAAAATCCTAGTGCTACTAACAACAACAAAAATTAATCTCTTGATTTTATTTATTGCAACCACACAACAGTTAAAAATTCAAATGATTCTGAAAAACTGCTAGAGTTAGATGAACTATACGAGATTCCAAAAAAAGCTTCATTTGAATCATTTTTCAGTCTATCTGATGATTAAATAAAGTTCTGGAATTGTTAGCTTTATTGATAAAGCATGCTATGTGTGAAAATTTCAACGGTAAAAATAAAAAAGTTAAATTTTGGAAAGTCTTCTAAAGAATACTATATACTCATCCAAATGTCAACATAAGAAAAATTTTAAGAACTCCTCATCAATAGAATGCAGTCAAAAGTTAATTTGAAGATCACACTCAGATTAGTTGACAGAAAATCCAAGCTAACATAAAACCCTGTGAAAAAGCAAAGGAAAAATGCCCATGTAAAAAAGCAATTAAGATTTTATAGACAGGACTGTAATAATTACAAAAAATCTAATAGGGCCATCACATGACCTTGGGGCAATTCTATGTTAAAACATGGAATTGGCAGTGTAACAATGAGCTTTAAGTAAACTATCACTTTCACATTTGTAGGAAAAAAAATTTTGTTTATAAATTTTATGAACCACTACTTACTTTTTATTATTCTATCCTCTAATATAATAGATAATGATAACAATACGTGCTCTTACTTCAATTCGAAAATATCATACCGATTGTGCATATCGTCTGGTCATAAGGCATTTCAGATTCACAAATCAATGACTTACAAGTCATAAAAATTTAAAAAGCAGCATATCTTTAAAATTCCTGGCTGAAGGTTAAGTGCTGCCCTACATTTCACCTTGTATTTGGTATGTTATTTATACTTAATACATTATTTTTTTTATAATACATAACAACATTTGGATGCAGCATCTGTTTACTTGAAAAGTGATTCAATGCAAAAGTGAAATGAACACATGAGGATTGAGGATAATGCATTTAATTGCTTCATTGCTTTTTCTTCATAATCAGCCTATTCTTCTTGTATTTAGTGTAACTCCAAGAATACAGTAAATGCATATCTTCAATAACATACCTATTTTAAGTACCAAATCTTAGAAGTTTTAGACTATCTCAAAATACATGTTTTCACCAGTCTGTTCAGAGCTTTAAGTAAAGTATTACTTCTGTTGTTCAATTTTAATTAAAATCTAATATGTTGTTTCTATTCACATAAAAGTCTTAAATATTAAAATTGAAAAGTTCTGAATTACATTTTAAAATAGTTTTTCATTAAAAACTATTATGGGTTTCAAGTAAAGTACCATTTCTGGTTTCTCAAATTAGTCAAAAACCTAATCAACTCTTTATGCAAATATAGAAAGCTCAAATACAGACAACATAAATTTTTGGAAGTTTCATTTAAGAATCATTGAGTAGGAAACACAAACATCACTTGCATACATTCACATAGACAGACATCATTGTTAAAATAGTAAGAGGACGTTATGGGGACCCTAATTTGTGTTTATTCACTGAAAACTCTACTGAATTTTAGGACCAAAAACATTACCTACCTTACCTATGTACACCATAGTTTAAAAAAAAGATTCTTGTATGAAAATCAAAGTATATTAGTATAACTTCTAATATATTGGCATAATTTTTGTTTCATAATTGCAGTAGCTATTGAAATATGCTTGAGTCTTTAAAATGAGTTTATAATAAATGTCTATTTTTACAAAACGCAGCCAGTACATACTATAAAATATATAAGAGATATTGAAAAGTGTCATACAAAAAACTTTTCTTTAACCAATATGCTAATTAATCCTGACAATCTTCAAAAGCTAATTAATCTTACTGAACTGCAGTAAATTTTTAAAACTTGATCATATGTAAGCATTGCAAAGACATGGTACCAACAGCTACCTTGCAGGTCATAGTCTTAAAATGGAAGTTCCTAAAGCTAGTTCTAAGTTGGTGATTCAGTTACAAAACTATGGATTGTCTATGAAAAAAAATGGTGACATCATTAATAAATCAAAGTCTATGGAACAATATTATATTGAAGGTTACAGTGAGCATCAAACTTTTAAGGACAGAGACTGATCTGGAAAACCTCTGAAGCTAAGCCACTTATACAAAGGAAATGTCACGTGTAAGGTTAAAGATAATTGATGAATAAATGCATGTTAAGTTGCAGCTGCCTAAAGACTAATTATAAATCAAACTGACATCTTAAATGGTGGAAAATGTCATTAAAAAAGCAGGGCACAACAGACAAGTGACCCCTAAGGAGCTATTTATAAGTCTCTGTAACAGAAAAGAGCACCTCGAGTTCCCAAAGGAACATGCAAGTTAGCTTTTATTTTTCAATGAATTGGTCCTTTTTATTGATAAATCAAAATTTAACATCCTTTGATCAGAAGGTCAAGTTATGATCTGGAGAAAATCAAATCAACAGATGGCAGGAGACAGTATATTACTATAGTAAATATAACATCTAACACATAATAACATGGAGACATCATGGTTTGGGGTGCATGAGTGCTGTAGGTATTGACAATTTATATTTTATAGAAGAAACTACAGATAGTACCTGTATCTTGACATGCTACACCAAAATGTCTTAACTAGTGCAGAAACATTATCCCTTGGAACTACATTTATTTTCCAGGAGGATGATTCTAAACACACCTTTCAAGATTTAACAAGAATGGTAATCTTGTCATATTAAACAGCAGCTTCATAACCCACCCCAGTCTCTCAATTAATTTAAACCTCATCAAACATTTATAGAAAGAAATCAGTCGTGAACTCAAAAAATGATACAGTCAAAAGTCGTTAATTCGGACACCCATAATCCAGAATGATCTATAATCCGGACCTCAAAGCTAAAAACTTTATGCGCATGCGCCGCATTGGCACATGCGCACAGGCGTTTTACGCGTGCGCGTAAGACCTTGACTACTGTGCATATGCGTGTGCGCAAGTGCAGAATACGTTTTTGCCTGTGCATTTAATGTATAACGGACGGTGTAAGCTAAAATTATCTAATTATCTATTTCAGTTAATGTTAATGATTGCGTTGTTCTTTAATCTTCGAATTGGATCCCGCTTATTATTTTTTGCAGACTGTAAGAGCAATTTTATAAAAGTAAAACTTGAACTTTCTTTCGATTATGTCAAATAGAATTTCCGATGCTGGAACTTCCAAAAAAGATCTACAAAACAAAAGTATGTTTCGATGTCCAACAAACAAAAGTGAAAATGCTGCTGCAAAAAATGGATAAACATGAAGAATGTGACCAGAGAGGTTAGTGAAAGCGAAAAAATTTCGATTGACAAGTTAGTCGGTATTCTCGGCACAGCCACAGCAATTAACGGAACTTGAACAGCGGAACTTTGTAACTGAACAAGAAATTATGTCTGTTTTATAGAATTAAAGAGAAAGTATTATCACATAAAACGAAGCAACTTAAACAACTTACATTGAAAGAAATGTTTAATAAAGTAAACAAATAAATAAATATTAAGCTTTTTTTTTTTTTTTGTTTTTTTTTTTTTTTTTTTTTTTTTTTTTTTTTGTAAATTTTGATAACATTTAGATCATAATTGTTCTTTATTTCAGAAATTACGGTTTCATATTTTTAATTTTATAATTTCTGCATGCCATCTTACAAGATTTAAACTGATGATCTATAATCCGCAATTGCCGAAGTCCCGACGAGTCCGGATTAATGACTTTTGACTTTGATGTTACGATTGATGTTAAGAACAAGGGCTGATCTAAATAGTGTCATTCAGGACATTTAAAGCAACATTTCATATGAAATAACAAAAAAACTAGTGGGAGTCATGCCACAATGTTTAACAGAAATAATAAAGGCCGAAAAGAGGGCCTATCGGCCATTAAATATAACTTAACATGAAAAAGCTGTCTTAAAAACTATGTAAATACCAGTGGCATAGCTAGGGTGGGACAAGGGGGGACACCTGTCTCTGGGGGCAGCATCCATGGGGTGCAAAATTGATGTTACGAAATTTTGAAATCAAATGTTTTCGATTTTTGACACACAGAAAGGGCTGGAAATTCTTCAGTTGTCCTCGGGCGTTGAAAACCCTAGCTAGGCCTCTGGTAAATACCATACAGAAACTTTTTTTTGTTCCTTATTAGCAGCATTTTTTGCTTCTTTAAATTTATTATTAAATTATCCTGATATGTTTCCTTTATAATGTTGATAAATAATATCTGCAACTGTATTGAACCAATTTACTAATTTTCGTTTTCTTCACAAAGGATTTTGTGTGAGAAATTAAACTTTTATTTACAGTCATAGTTGCCTACATATGGAAACTTTAACCTACTCTATAAGGTTGACACGAGATAAAAATAACATAATGAAAAATTATTAGATATCATTACCAGCTAACCTGCAATTGCTTTCGTTTGGCGAAATACTACTTCTTGAGTTTTACCAGATTCTCGTTCTTCTAGAAGTTCTCCAACACAAGCAATAACTTTTATACCTTCAGATAATGCATGAGCCACTTTGTCTGCTATTAACTAAAAAACAATAAAAAAAGAAATTAAGATTAAGAGGCACATTTAAAAATTCTTCTATCTATAACAAATTATACATATTATATGCATACATGACCAAGTTTAGATTTGGATCATGCAGTAGTTGAAAGTAAAAGTTTAAAAAAGGCAAACACACTACAATAAATAGGTTCTAGAAAACGAATTTCAATACAACCCTAGCAAAGCAAACAGGTAGCATCTTTGTACAGTTAATATAATCACACAACTTCAAGTTAAAACCAGGCAGGGCACTCGACTTGGGAAATAGGGAAAGACATTAAGTTAAAGGCAATGTTTGGATTGTTTTGTTAAGGCAATGTTTGGTAAAAATCCAAACATTGCCTTAACATGACAAATTTAGCCTAATTAGGCCAATGTTTCAATGCTTATTCCATCATTAATGAAAAATCGCACTTTATTTAGGTCAGTCAGAAAGTTAATTTCACCCCTTTGTAAAAATTTTCTGTCAAAGGCTATTTTGATGAAACTATGTGGCAACACTTCAGACATTTAGCTGTATCGTGTGATATAGCAGCTTTCATGAGGCAATTTTAGTTTGATAATCAGTCACAAACATGTCTGAACAGCTGCAAGTGGCATCTAAATTGGAAATGCATGCAGTGATTCATTTTTGTGAACAAAAAGGTAACTGCTGTAAAATTTATCAGCAGTTGAATGAAGGTTATGGTCAGAGTCGTAGCTAGGGTTTTCAGCGCCCAGGGACAACTGAAGATTTCGCGCCCTAGCTACGCCCCTGGTTATGGTGAAAATGCAATGTCATGTAAAGCTATCACAAAGTGTTACGATATGTTTGAGAACGGATGAACCAATATTTATGACGCTGAATGCAAGGGAAGACCAACTGCCATAAATTCTGAAATTGTTACTCGTGTGAATGAATACATTCTTGCAAACAGACACGTAACAATTGACAAAACCTCTAATGAACTGGATATTTCTCATGGAAGTGTGAATAAAATTATTACCAATCAGCTTCAGTTTCATAAAGTTTGTACTCAATGGGTGTCTCATCTACTGACGGAGGAACATAAACAGAAGCGTTTTGAAAGTGCTTTGAAATTTCTGCAACGTTAACAAAAGGAAGGAAATGAGGTTTGAAACAAAATGCAGCTTCCTCAAGAGGAAACATTCCACTTCCGGGACTCAGAAAAAGTGGCAAACTGTTCCATCTGCACGAAAGGTGATGCTGATGCTGTTTTTCGACAGAGGAGGTCTGGTCCACACAGAGTTTATGCCAAAGTGTGCCACAATTAACGCATCTTCTTACTGTGAAACACTAAAACAATTGCAACAATCACTTAAAAATTGACAGCCAGGTAAACTGTCAAAGGCATTGTGCTCCTGCATGACAATGCAAGACTGCATGAGGCAAAACAAATGAAAACTTTCTGAAAATGTTTAGGTTGGAAGTGTGCGATCAGCCACCTTATAGCCCACAGCTTGCACCATGTGACTTCCAGGTTTTTGGTCCCATAAAAGCTAAACTTTCAAAGCAACAATACAACTTGGATGACAAGGTGAAAGTTGCAACCCAAAAATGGTTATCAGGCATTGGACAAGATGTCTTTGCAGAAGGCATTGAAAAATTTGTATCACATGCCTCGACAAATGCTTAAATAACAGAAGTCATTACATTGAAAAGTAACTTTTGAATGTAACTTTAATATACAAATAAAGTTATTGTAAAATTTTTATCCTGCTTTGTTTTCTTAAGTAATGAAACCAACTTTTTGACTGATCCTTGTATTATCACTTTCTAATCTCTTAAATTGCACAGTTGAGATGCAGCTTTTTTTAGTAGTCTAGCATTTACAGAGTATTACACTAAAATATCAAAATCCTCTATATTCAACATACATAGGAGAAAGTAAACTATAAACATAGTGTTAGATAAAACCTACTATTTTAACTTTTGCTTACTTTTCATGCTTTACTACATATAATTTATAAATTAAATTATACCACAATTATCAACACTACTAAGAGGAAGCATTGATTGTGATGATATTTTGGTACTCATCTTCTGTAGCAGCCTTGAGGAGAAGGCAAATCTGGCACATTTATACATAGGCGAGAAATATCAAGCAACCATGCTTATTACTGATCTGTCTGGGCCAATGCGAGAAACGAACATGCGAGAACTGTAGCAGCCTTGAGGAGAAGGCAAATCTGGCACATTTATACATAGGCGAGAAATATCTAAGCAATCATGCTTATTACTGATCTGTCTGGGTCTATGGGAGAAACGAACCGTTACCCATTTGTGTATATGAGAGTAAAAACGGTTAACAAACTTAATAGTATTGATACTGCTGTATTGAAAAATATAGTGGTTTTCCTTTCTAAAATACTCATAATGCTTATTTTCAATCTTCTATCAATGGGAAAAAAGCTATAGTTGATGTGATGTCCGAGCCATTATTAGCAGCAGCTGCTGAATTGTGGCTACCAGTCTATAGAAAATGAATTTTCCAGGATTTTTAAGTATTTTTTTAATAAATTGCTATATAAATTGTATTAAATTAAATAATAAATAGAATTATATGATATGTTTAATAATTTTCCTATATGTTTGTTATTGTAAATAAATTGCTTACATTTCATATTAAATATGATAATGTACATATTAAATAAATTCTGTTGAATTATTCTATTACTTTAAACAAATGGTTTACATAATTATATCAAATCTGGTAATTAATGCATATATTAATAAGCTATGTTGAATTATGTTATTTTTAATAAACTGCTGACAAAATTGTATTAAATACCATAAATACAAATTTATGTTAAATTCCTTCTACACATGTATGTTAAATAATGTGGGCCGGTACTTTTCCGTTTTGCCGGCGCAAATCTCGCCAAGCAGACTTTATTGGCGACAACATACAGTATACACATAAAAAATAAAAAAATGTTAGTTCTAGGAATTTTTTAATTTGAAAGAATGAACATTTTAATATCATTTAAAATTTTGTGAAAAGCCACTACATAGAGACAATAAATTTGTAAAAAGATATCAAGAATTAATTATGCTTTCATGGTTCAATAAGTTGATTCACCGGTTCATATCACGTAACCTCCTCTCATCTCACGTAAACTATGCTACAAAAATCTAATTCCCTGAGTTACCTACCTATGCTAATTTCAAGTTAAATCTTAATTTGTAAATAGAAGTTTAAATGCAAGAATTATTTCAATTCATACAAATAGCATACTCAGAAATTATGTAAAACCGCAGTACTTTACTTTGCTAGTGTATTCTCATTAGAATTGATGAATTTAACCCTTGACTTTGCCTTTTCTATATTTTCGCCTTCGGGCGAGCAGTGCAATTGCATTCTAATTGACTTAATTACCGCAAATGGCCTTAGGGCATAAAATTGTACTATCTGGTGAAAATTATATGCAATTGTATGCCAGTATTGAAAGAACCAATTAATCTGATAAGAAATGGCTTTCACTTGTTTTGAAAATGAGGTATAAAAGGTTAACAGTGAAGGTATTCTGTTTGGCATCAGTTGTAACCATTACAGTCAAAAGTCGTTAATCCGGACTCGTCGGGACTTCGGCGATTCCGGATTATAGATCATCAGTTTAAATCTGGTAAGATGGCATGCAGAAATTACAAAATTAAAAATATGAACCCGTAATTTATGAAATAAAGAACAATTATGATCTAAAGGGTATCAAAATTTACAGAAAGAAAAAGCTTAGTATTTATTTGTTTACATTATTAAATATTTCTTTCAATGTAAGTTGCTTCGTTTCATGTGATAATACTTTCTCTTTAATTCTATTAAACAGACATAATTTCTTGTTTAGTTACAAAGTTCTGCTGTTCAAGTCCTATAATTGCTGTGTTGAGAATACCGACTAATTTGTCAATCGAAATGTTTGCGTTTTCAATAACCTCTGGGTCACTTTCTTCACTATCGGAAGCGAATTATAATGACGAGGAACTTGATTTAAATCATATCAAAGACGGAATACATCGAGTTGAAATACTACACTTAGTAAGGAATTATAAGCCAAATAAAATAAAAACATCTGCCCTGAAGATAAGGATAGTGCTGACAGATCAACTTCCAATCCGCAGCGTGAAATTGATAAACAGATTTCGGATTTCGAAACATACTTTCACTTTGTAGATACAAATTACATATTAGTAAATATATATCGGAAATTCTATTTGACATAATCGAAAGTTCAAGCTTACTTTTATGAAATTGCTCTAACAGTCTGCAAAAAATAATAAGCCGGATCCAATTCGAAGATTAAGGAACAACGCAATCTACAACATTAACTAAATTAGATAATTTTAGCTTAGCTTATACCATCCGTTACACATTAAACGCGCATGCACACAAACATATTCGCAGCCGTAAAAGTCTTACGCGCACTCGTAAATGCCTGTGCACATGCGTGAACGCGACGCGTGCGTAGAAAATTTGTAGCTTTGAGGTCCGGATTATAGGTGTTCGAATTAACGACTTTTGACTGTATTAGAGAATTTATCGCCTGCGCCAGCAAAACGGAAAAGTACCTGTGGGCCATATATATAATGAATGAACTGACAATTTATAATTTACATTTACAGTAGTAAATTTCGTTTTCATGGATGTTTACAACATCTGGAAATAAATCAGATTTCTCAAGCCCGAATTGCGCCAATGCCATTCATTTTCTCAACAAACCATTACAGAAGACAAGCATCAAAGTACCATATTTTTTAATTTTTAATAATTGATTTTACTCTGAGACAATGACAATGTTAGAGATCGTTACACTGTTTATTTTTTGCAAGAATGAAAGATTGCCTTTTCAGAATTGCCAAAGAGAGAATAAATTCTAAAGATATAACAATCACCTACATTTTGTTATTATTATATTAGCTTCAATTGTCCTTTGCTTTTTTTAGCTTGAATTCTTATATAATAAATTAGTCCTTAGATGTCCTGCTACTAGTAGCACAGTATTCTTAAATAATAATTAATAGATAGCACTGAAATATATAAAAATTTCAGAGATGTTCTGGCAATGTTCTGAAAATAAATCCAATAGAAACATGAAGTGGTTCTTGCATATTATCGCAACTCTCTCGGTAAATTTTGTCAAATTTTCAGAATGTGCTAAATTACAGCAGCTATATGCAGATCCCTTCTTCAAGTAACCATGCTTATTATAATCATTCAGTCAAGAAACATCACCATTTTCATATGCATACTTTTGATTGTATTGCAAATTCCAAACATTTTTATAGATAAGCTGATATTTTTTTAATTTAAACTCAGTTTTGAAATATATTGTGGAATTTGCCAGCAATCATAGAAACAGTAGTAAAATTTCTGCAGGAATACAGTACAAAAGGGAAAAATGGCTACAGCAGTGCATGGGAATGGGTTTAGTTGCAGTGGGATAGAATACTTTGTGTGCAGTGTTTAGATACATTTGCTAGATAGCCAGCGTGCAAGGTCAAGGCTGTACATTTCTCGGACATTTTTAAGTTAAAACATGACGAGTATTTCCACTTGAAAAAAAATCAGAGAATGTATACATAGTAACAGAAGAGCAAAAAAAGTACAGATAGATTTTACCAAAGGTTTTATTTTTTAATACTTATTTAAAAATTAAATTTGTAAAGTGTGTTTTCCTTTGATACATTGATAATGCCTGCTGATTAACAATAAATATCGATAATTTAGCTTTTTTTCTTTTTTTTTTAAATCCTCCAAATCGTTAACTTGCACCCAATAAGTAACCTTTGCCTTTTTGTAAGAATCACCAAAAACGGCACCAAAATTAATATGCAAGTACCCAAAACAGAATTTCCCGCAAATTTTATATTCTGGTAAACACACTAATTATCAATACACATACATTTTGGATACATACTACTTAAAAGTGTTTTTAATACTAAATGTAAACTTATTTTAAATACATAACAAAATATCAAAATTTGAATATGAAATTCAAAGAAATAATGGAATTTTCCCTCCCACTTACAGCATCAGTTTCTCCAAAGACATTTCGTCTCTCAGAATGACCTAAAATGACCCATTCGGCACCAACATCTTTGATCATAGCAGGGCTGGAAAGCATATAAGAATGTTTAAATAAGCAATCAAACTATTCTAAAATCATTATTACTGCAAAAATTTATAAAATGAAAAGTTCATTTATACAAGAAAAAATTTTGAGATATTATTTTCTGTCAAAGCCTCTTACAAACAGTATCTTTTTATTTTATTTGTAAAAGTTGTTAATTTAAATACAGCCAACTAGGAGGAAAAGGATAACTGGGGGTCTTGCTTAAAAAAAAAAAAAAAAAGAGCTGATTTTGTTTATTGCAGAACAATGGAAAGATTACTATCACAATTCACCAGAACAAAATAAAATTACGAAGCAAATACAAAAAGGAAAAGAAAATGTATGCGGTAACAGGAGTGATAGCAGATGATGTCAATATTTAAAAACTGTTTTTATCTACATAGAAGAAAATTTTAATTTGAGTTAAAATAACAGGGCAGATAACAATTATTGGAGGAGTTAAAAGTAACAAGAATCAGCATAATATTCATAAATTTGCAGGACTAGTTTCAAAGGTTTAAATATAGAACCTTCTTCTTTGGCTGCCAAAGTGCTAATGACAAATCAACTGAGCACTGGCTCCTCTTTCATCATTTACACTTCTGCAACTGAAGGAGCTCTTATTTTTCTTAGAAACTAATCCTGCAAGTTTATGAACATTATACTGATTCTTGCTGCTTTTCAATAATAGTTCAAAATTTAACTATGCATAATCTGGAAAGTATAAAAATTATGAACATGTAACAAGGAATTACATAAACAATTTTATATGTATCTTTTTACAATGATATTTCAAAGTATGAGTGTATTTAATTATGGATTGAAAGAGATTACTTGCCTAATTTCTCCTGTAAAAGCACCACTAGCAACTTTATAACAATTCTGAGCTGCTACTCCAATCGTTTTAGGAACTTTAGATACTACATAATCAATATAAATAGTTGGACATCCCACGACTACTTCTGCAAAATGAATACATAAATATTTAGCAAATAATAATATCATTCTGTATATTTCTTACGAAAGTTTCTAGAAATAATTTCTTAAGTTTATTTACATTGCTCAGTCAACTGAAATCTTATTGTGAAAACTGGTCAATTTTTGCACAAGTATATACATTCTTTAATATGGCAGAAGAATAATCCTCATTCTATCATTTCTTAGAATAGAATTTTTGATTCTTCCAGCAATCTAACTTTTTCAAAAGGCACTGTTTTCCAGCAATTTTAACATAACGCTTTTCCGATGTCAGATGCAATATCATGCAGCATACACTGTCATACTGCTTTTCCAATGGCATAAATTTCTGTTGCTAAACTCTAGGCATTGATATGGCATTTAACATGTTAATATGTCCAAGAGGCTCCATGATTTTTTGGTCCAAATATATTTCATAATTTCTATGAACTGCTCATGTAATTTAACAGAGAAAGCATTTATATCTAACATACTTCAAACATTACCAAACCCAATATAACTTACGCAGTATAATCTCAGTGCAGCATTTTTAATTTTAAATAATACATAATTAAAAGTTTATTATAACTGAAAATTATTAATCTTACTTTCACTTTTAGGAGAAGAAATTTTAAACCCAGCAAATTGTTATTTTTAAAATTTTAGTAAATGTACAATCCTAGAAATTTTTAGTGAAAGATTAGCTTTTACTTTTTTGGAAAAAATTTTCAGTGGAAGATTAGCTTTTACTCAGCTACACGTTGAGGTGTTTATTTAAACAGCTATCACATAAGCTTCACATAAGCTTTAAAATATTCATAGTATTTTCATTACAATCCAGTTTATTATACTTATTATTTAACATTATTATATTCAGAAATATTATCAGAATATTTACAAAAATTTGAAAGTAAAATACAGGTGGAAAACGAAAAATGCAATTCCAAAGTAGGTTACAAGTAATTCTGCACAGCAAAGATGCATTAAAAAAATGAATACTTAGATTTTTTAAATGCATTAATAAAATTATTTTGAATTCCTGGAAATTTCTACTAAAACACATGTCCCGTTTCATTTCAATCAAGACCTAACTCCATATCGTTTTTAATATCTATAGAACACATAAAATTCTTATGGAATTACAGCTTGTATAAAAATATTATATCAGATGCTTTATGTACATCCAGAAGATCAAAAACGTGAAAGGGCAAAAAATTATGAGCACTGGTACTATTTAACAAATATTTAGTCATACAGATACTTGGAGTAAAATAAGCATCTTTTATTTTGCACATTAAATGAAACTTTATAACTCATTTTATAAAATAATGTACACTGTTAAAGCATAAATTATTGTATTCCAATAGCAATGCGCCGCACAAGGATGAAGTATATAATATTGTATTAGTAATTTTTCCTGTTATCAGACTTACCAGTATTTGGATCTAAAGGGCCATCAGTCAGAAATTTTATAATACCATCTATAGAAGATTTATTTCCATTCATTTTCCAGTTACCTCCAACGAAAAATTTCCTGTCTGACATTCTGATCTAATAAGAAAGAATAAAATGAAAGAAAAAATTAACCATAGAGAGACTTTAAAACACTCATTCACTAAAACCAGAATTAAAACAGTATAAAAGATTAGCAATCAATATCTACGGTGATAAATACATATATTCGCGTTATATGAACACAAGAGTGTAGACAGATTGCATACTTAATTTTTTTAGAAAGTATTTTTCACAGTAGAGAAGAGTTGTCAAAACGATGCGAACAACCACGAAATAAGAACGGTCACCCTTTTGACGGAGATTTAATAGCCGAAAAACGTGCGAAGGTCAGCGCAATGACACAGGAACACGAAAATGAAAAAGAAAGTTTTAAATTCGTTGCCAGTTTTCGATTAGGTAAATTTAGAAAGAAATGTCATTGGTCAGGCACAAACACACCCTTCATCAGACACGCATATTCACAAAGCCTACAGACAATTTCGCTATGGGCTGCTCTCATTGGAGGAAACATCTGCTTGGCGGTCACATTTGGAATGGCGAGTTATCGCCCTGTAGGCGTGGTAATTAACGCCAAACAAACGGAAACAGCGTTTATTTCATTCAATATTTTTTTAGTTTATGAATGAAAGCTTAGAGGAATTGTGTGGAATATATCTTAAATAACCTACTAATGTTATTAATAGTTTATTTGTATTTGAATTTAAACTTTTAAAAGCACGTAATTGTTTTACAAGAAATGGTTTTTATATGGAGACATCATATGCACTTTTTTCCTTATTTCACTTAGGAAGAGTCTGTTGTGTAAATTTTCATAGCTCATTAATTTATACAAATAAAGGAATATTAAAAAATTAACCAAATGAAAACATTCAGTAAACATTTAAAGGTGTCGGATACTTATTCTTTTTACGAGTAAGTATAACTAAAATTATATTTTATTCCATTATGCGCTATTTCTATTGAAACGCTTTTCGGGATCTTGGATCGTAATCTTGCTTACTGGTACTTACTACAAAGAGTACAAACCAGTAAATAAAAATAAGAAAAATTAACATTAACAAAAATAGAGAAAATAAAGGCGTTTAATTTTTAACACCGTACCCGAATGCGAAAAGACAAATAATGACAAAGTCATTCAATAGTTAAAATAAAACAAATCCGTATAGAGCAGAGTTTAAGAAAGCTACGAGCGGGGACAGAACCGGCGACCTAGAAGTTTGAGAATTATTCCCGCACCACTGGGCTGCGGTATCTCCGGTGGGTTATACTCACTTTTTGGTACACCACGCTCAGATACAAATTGTAAAATCGATGAACCAAAAGTCGCCAAGCACTAGATTCTGTAACCCTACCTCTTTTAACCAATCAGAGTAAACAGCAGAAGAAACTGTCTGTAGGCTTTGTGAATAAGCATCAGACACACACACACAAAGATCGTACTTTATTCGAGTGTCAAGATGTAGAAACATCTCGCCAATCAAATTGTTTCTAGAGCACGAGATAGAGATTAAACCCTAGATGTAACAAGTAAGTTCCCAGCCACATGGTCTAAAACGAACAAAATTACCATCTTTGAATATTTATAAGCTTGTTAATCTCTGATCGTTTCTTGAAATTTTAGTTTCTTTCCGTACTATTTTTAAATGGCTTTCCTGATAATAAAGCATAAATAATAGAATTTGAATATATCTCAAAAGGTTTATAATACTCTCATGGGCTTATACATACTTAATGGAGCTTATACTGGCCTATATCACGTGGATGGCAACGATGCTAATTTTGGCGTCTGATTACCGGTCAGCGCTATAAATCTCCAAACGCGGAGATCGGAGATCATCATTCGTTAAGTGGTATTCGACCCGAGGGCCTTTACCACTACATGTTTATCAATCCCCTAAGGACCTGTAAAAGTTCGTTAAATTCCATAAACTGGAAAAGTCCTGTGCACTTGTAATAAAAGTGCTAACTCTTCAGTAGTGAAGAAGTTGAACAGGGGTGACGCCATATATGGGCCACAGATGAAGTCTTCGTTGGATAAGCTATAATAGCAACTAATAATTTTGGCATATCTTTTCGCAATGGCATATCTTTTACACATTATCGTAGATTTGACACAGTATCGTACGGTAAAAATGGAAAATAATATATATACAAGTCCCAGAATTTTTTTTTCCCGTCTGAGGCGAAAGTACCTATATCTTAATACTCATAGGGAAGTAGACTGTCACGTGATATACGAAATTAATGATGATAAATTCAGCAGCCTTGTTACTGGGCAAAGTCCATAGTAAGATGAAAATGATGATAAAGATGAAACAAAATCTAGATTAAATAGTCGAAAATAACAAAATATATACAAGAACTACCATCTAACATTGTGAGCTATAGTTCTGGGCCGTTTATGCGGCAGTTCGATTAGATAGTCGTACTCCACTATGTTTTTTCGTGAGTGGAGGAATAACATTTTTCGTAGAATTTGAATGTAATATTTAGTAATTCGGCATCTAATGGTAAAATTTTCAGAGAATTATGGATGACAGTGTTCCTAACGAACCACGGAGAGTTCGATAGGAATCTGAGAGTTTTACTCTGAAAACTTTGAAGCCTTGCTCGGTTTGAACGTGCAGTAGCTGCCCACGCTGGAGCGGCATATAGAATTATGGGTCGGATTGCCTGTAGATAGAGTGTTCTTTTAGCGTTGATATTTAACTTCGAATATTTGCACATCAGAGAGTATCAGAAAGTATATGCTCATTAAGGCATGTTGTGCTCTGTCTCTGATATAATTACTTACTAATAATCTTTTTAACTAATGAAACTAATTCCATGTATGCATACCTGAGAATTAAAATAATAGTTTAATACTAAATCAAGTTCAGTGACAGAAATATAGGTAGTAAAGATGAATGCTGAAAACAAAGAAAGTAAGTTGAATGGTTGATATATGTAGACAAAAATGCATTCCTAGCACTGCTACCTATTATTTCCCAATTTGGCAGAATCTGCATTTAGTTTGTCTTTCGTAAAGAAGCAGCCTATACAATTGATATTCATTTTTTTTTTTTTTTTGAATATTCAGAAATGCAGTGTTTCATAAAATTATAGCAGAGGCAACACTGCAGAACAAAAGTGTGTGTAGTGCCACATATAAAATCTGATATTTATTAATTTTTTTCAGTTTCACTTGTAATGCATGATAAAAGTACACAAACATTTAAAAAACATACTTATTGGAGAAAAAATGAGCATACACTTTTAAGGTTAGGTTTTTAATAGGAACATTGCGCAGAATTTTTTTTAACACATGTGAGCTCCTTGTTTGAAAAATATGATAATGATAGCAATAGTATTACAAGATATGTGCCTGAAATTTTGCTCATTTTATATTTTAATTGCATCTTATAAAATTTTTACTCAAATGCACCTAATTTCAGCTTGCAATAAAAAACTGTCATTTTTGTGTAATTTCTGATTTATGTATCTGTTGGATTTGCGAAGTCAGAGAATAGAAACTGTCTACTTTTTTTTTTTTTTTAACTTTATTGAATTGGCAAGGAAATTATTTAAAATTAGGTAAAAAAAATTGGAGCCTAGATTTCGGATAAAACTAAATTGATTTTGAAAGCGAGGAAACACAAATCCCAGTTTGCCTGGAGCAAAGAAATTCAGTTTCTAGTTGTGTTGATATAATTATAAACTGTTATATGAGAGTTGGATATTTATCCACAAGTATGAATGGTGGCATGACAAATATCTGTTATTATGCAAGCATCATAAATCCAATAAAACACACAGATGTTTTAGTAGGAACTATATAAATTTTATTCACAAGTTTGCCCATGATGATGAATGATGCGACATGAGAAAAAATAGCAAATATATGGAAATGCAGTTGATTGGCATTTTCAAAAACTAAGAGTCTATTTTTAAGGTCTGGTTACAAAATAACAGATAACTGTTTATATATATATATATATATATATATATATATATATATATTATTCAAACACAGTTCCATTGTGAATTAAATTATTAATCTTTTTGTGAGGTTACCATAATCCCGGTTTTATTCTGAATATTATTTGAAAGAGAAATTTATAGACTAAATTTGCCTTGTTTTGCTTAGCTTAATCAGTGAACTTGACAAAGCAATCGTATCATGTAAAATAAGATTAAAAATATCTGATACTAGAATATCTTACTGAAGATTTTTTTACGTGCACTACATTTTCTATATAAGACCAATCTAAAAAATTATCACTATTTATTCTTTCGCTTTCTTATACGGAGAAACATAACCAAGCCATTCAGTTGTATAATGCTCGAAATCGTTCAAACATACATATTCACAGATATCCACAAAGACTTATTTCAGATTTCCGAATCAAAGTTGCGAACCATGTTTACATCGAACGAAATTGTTCATGCTGGGCGGAGCTTCGTTGTGACGTCGGCTTACGCATGAAGCGACTATCACGTGACCTCCCTGCGCATTCGGGGATTTAGCGCTGACCTCTGATTACCGTCAATGACTTGAACTGGAAATTGTTTCTTCTGTGGCCTTGGCTAATAATGTTTAAAATTAATTTATAATTAAGAACAGCATGAAATAAAAACAAATAGCTAAGTTTATTGCTTTTTATTTTGCAGCTATAGAAATGCGACGCTACTGGAATAGCAACGTTTGGAAACCAAAACTTAGCAATCATGAATCAGAACTAGTTGCCATTCAGCATAAAGAAATTTAAATATATACTGGGTGATCAAAAAGTCAGTACAAATTTGAAAACTTAATAAATAACGGAATAATGTAGATAGAGAGGTAAAAATTGACACACATACTTAGAATGACATGGGGTTTTATTAGAAAATCAATAATCTGATCAGAAAAGCAATAATTAGCATAACAAATTAAGACAAAGCAAAGATGATGTTCTTTACAGGAAATTCTCAATATGTTCACCATCATTCCTCAACAATAGCTGTAGTCGAGGAATAATGTTGTGAACAGCACTGTAAAGCATGCCCGGAGTTATGGTGAGGCATTGGCGTCGGATGTTGTCTTTCGGCATCCCTAGAGATGTCGGTCGATCACGATACACTTGGGACTTCAAGTAATCCCAAAGCAAATAATCGCACGGACTGAGGTCTGGGGACCTGGGAGGCCAAGCATGACGAAAGTGGCGGCTGAGCACACGATCATCAGCAAACGACGCGCGCAAGAGATCTTCCACGCGTCTAGCAATATGGGGTGGAGCGCCATCCTGCATAAAAATCGTACGTTCCAGCAGGTGTTTATCAGCCAGGCTGGGGACGATGCGATTCTGTAACATATCGGCGTAACTCTCACCCGTCACGGTAGCAGTT